GAGAGAAGGTAGGAGGAAGGGCCTTGAGACAGAGGTTGAGGGAAGTGAACATTTGGTGAAGGGTGTGGTGCTGGAATGTTCTGTGTTCCCTGCCAGCAACAGTTTTGTAAGCTACAGTGCCTAAAATGAAAATCCAGTTAGTGTTAAGTTAGCGTTGGGATAGGGCTAGTCTTGTTGTTAGGATTGGGATTAGGGCTGGAGTGGACAGTACAGGGTTAAGATGCTGGGGTTAACATGCAGCCACCTCTAAACACCACATAATCTCCCAGCACCAACTGCAGTGACCCCCAAGCTTAGAGCTCAGGGTAGCCCCTTACACTACCAGACGTATCCCCAAACAGTGCCCTACACATGCAATAAAAAAAGATGATATAAAGATTATAGTTCTGCTTAGGTCAGTTTAGGGCCTGGTTAGGATTAGGGTCAGTACTTGAGTTTTAGTCTTAGTATTATGTGTGAATTTAGGATTAGACTATTTTTTTGGAGGGGGAGGGTCACACCCGGCAACACACAGGGATTACTCCTGGCTCTTGCACTTAGGAATTACTCCTGGCCGTGCTCGGGGTACCATATGGGATGCTGGGAATTGAATTCGGGTCGGCCGCATGCAAGGCAAATGCCTTACCCGCTGTGCTAGTGCTCCAGCCCCTCGGATTAGATTTTTGGTTAGGATATTTGTTGGATTGGATTTGGGTCAGGCTTCGGGTTAGAGTTTGCTTTAGTGTTGGGATTTTGGCCCCGTTTATTCAGTTTATTCTTAAGGTTGGCATGAAGGTTAGGATTAGGGTAAGTGTGAAGATCAGGTTTAGGGTTAGGCTTAGGGCAAGGCTTAGAGTTGAATGTCGAGGTCGACTTGTTCTTAGAGTAAGGGTTCTAGTTGCTTTAGTGTTGCTGATAGGCTTTGAATTATTCTTTGGGTTTAGGTAATTTCAGGTTTAGTTTGGGGTTTGGGACAGGTTTCCTGTTGAGGTCAAATCAAGGGTTACAGTTATTTTGAGAGTTAGGCTTCGGGTTAGATTTTCTAAGCTTATTTCTAAGCTTAGGTTTATTGTTGGGTTGGAGCGATAGCACAGCGGTAGGGCGTTTGCCTTGCACGCAGCCAACATGGCCGACCCGAGTTCGATTCCTCCACCCCTCTCGAAGACTCTGGCAAGCTACCGAGAGAATCTCGTCTGCACAGCAAAGCCTGGCAAGCTACCCATGATGTATTCAATATACCAAACACAGTAACAACAAAGTCTCCAATGGAGACGTTACTGGGCCCGCTTGAGCAAATTCGATGAACAACGGGAGGACAGTGACAGTGACAGGTTTACTGTTAGATTGGGGTTAGGGGTCTGGTTAGGGTTGAGGTTAGGTTTATGTTGGGGTTATGGTTAATTTAGAATTTGGGTTACAGTTATGCTGAGGGTTTGTGTTGGGCATAGGTTTACGGTTACAGTTAAAGTAAGACTTAGGGGTAAGGCAGAGTTCCTATTAGGCATTGTTCTAGGGTTAGGTTTAGGTTTATGGGTAGGGTCATGTTAGATTTATGGGTAGGGTCATTGTTCTAGGGTTAGGTTTAGATTTATGGGTAGGGTCATGTTAGTCAGAGGGTTAGAGTTAATTGTGAGGGTAAGATTATGATTTGAGTAGGGTTAGGGTTTGGGTCAGGTTTAAGGTTCGTATTAACTTATTGTTTAGGACAGGCTTCCCCTCTCCTTAGGATGTGGGTTAGGGTATTGGTTGAGCTAGGGTTAGTTTCAGAGTTATGATTTGTGTGGTTAGCATCAGAGTTTTTCCTAAGGAAGTGTTAGGTTTAGTGTTAGGGGCAGCTTTAGTTTAGGTTAGACTTATGCTTCAGTTGCCCTTAGTTCCTAACACCCCGAAAAGGAGGGTCCCAGCAAGGGACTTGGAAAGACCCAGGGCAAGTTGTAAACTACCCTGGCATTGAAAAGGGACAGGCGGGGCTGGAGTGATAGCACAGCGGGGAGGGCGTTTGCCTTGCACGTGGTGAACCTGGGTTCGATTCCCAGCATCCCATATGGTCCCCCCAGCACCGCCAGGAGTAATTCCTGAGTGCAGAGCCAGGAGTATCCCCTGTGCATCTCTGGGTGTGACCCAAAAAGCAAAAAAAAAGAATAGAAACGGTGCTTTTGTAATTTGGAAGTTAACAGACTCTGAATCAGTCCTGGGCATCCGTCACATTTACTTGACTTGAACCATGGTTACTATGAAATGAGGTCTTTTCCCTCACATTCCTCAGATAAATTTTATATATATAAAAAATTCACTTCAGGGCTGGAGCGACAGCGCAGTGGGTAGGGCATTTGCTTTGTATGCGGCCAACCCAGGCTCAATCTCCAGCATCCTTTAAGTCCCCCAGTCTCCACCAGGAGTAACTCCTGAGAGCAGAACCAGCAGAAACCCCTGAGCATTGCCAGGTGTGACCCAAAAAGCAAAATAAGTTAAAATAAATAAGGATTCAGTCCATACTAGGTGAGAAAGAGTGACAAATGGGGCTGGAGATGCGATTCTGGATGGGCACAGGCTTTCAGCACAGGAGTCCCGAGTTCCATCCCCAGCTCTGCATGGATCCCCAGCACTGCCGGGAGTAGCCAGCTGGGTCCCAGAATCCAAAGAAAAAGAAGTGATCCAGAGATCTAGTACAGGGTGCTTGCTTGGCATGCGGCCAACCCAAGTTTGGTCCTCAGCATCCCATATGGTCCCCCGAGCACTGCCATGAGTGATTCCTGAGTGCAGAGCCAGGAGTAGCCCCTGAGCATTGCTGGGTGTGACCCAAGAAGCCAAAAAACAAAAAACCACCCCAAAACCCAGTGTATAGCACAGCAGTTTAAGCTCTTATCTTAACAGTTGATCAACACGTGGTTCAGTACCTGGCATGACATATGGTTCCCCCAAGCACCGCCAGGAGTGATTCCTGAGCACAGGGCAATGGAAAGCCTGAGTACCACCAGGTGTGACCCCCAAAATGAAAAATAAAATGAAAACGAGAGAGGGCAGAATAAGTAAGAGATGAGGTTGTTGGGACTGGAGAGCTAGTACAGCAGGGAGGATGTTTGTCTTGCACGTGGCAGACCCAAGTTCGATCCCCAGCATCCCGTATGGTCCTCCGCCAGGAGTGCAGAGCCAGGATTTAATACTGAGCACAGTAGTATGTAGCCCACAAACAAAACCCAAAAAAAAGGGTGGAGAGGATGGCTCAGGGGAGCAGAGCCAGGAACGTGTCACCTTCCCCCGTGTTCAGTGTTCAGGGACCACGACTGTCATGCTGGGGGGGACCACGTGGGGTGCCACCGACTGGCAAACATCCTAGCTGCTGTCCTGTTGCTCGACCTCCAACCCTTCCTGCTCTGATGTTCATTACTTACTAGTGGCCATCAGGGGGCTGGACAGTCTGCTGAGATGATGGGTCTCACGGTAAACAAAATTGCTGGCACCTGCCTTCAGAATAAAATAACTTACAGCCATGGGAGTGATGATGAGGTATTTTCTCCCCCCCCCCCCCTTTTTTTACTTTATTTATTTATTTATTTATTTATTTGTAGGAGTAAAGTAAAGTAAAGTAAAGTAAAGGCCCTCCCGTTGATCATCGATTTGCTCGAGCGGGCCCAGTAACATCTCCATTGGAGACTTTGTTGTTACTGTGTCTGGCATATCGAATACTCTCAGTAGCTTGCCGGGCTGAAGCGATAGCACAGCGGGTAGGGCGTTCACCTTACACGCGGCCAACATGGCCGACCCGAGTTCGATTCCTCCGCCCCTCTCGGAGAGCCCGGCAAGCTACTGAGAGTATTCGATATGCCAGACACAGTAACAACAAAGTCTCCAATGGAGACGTTACTGGGCCCGCTTGAGCAAATCGACGATCAACGGGAGGGCCTTTACCTTTTATTTGTAGGAGTACTGCTATTTATTCAGCCACTGATTAGCTGATTGAATTGGGCATGAACTCCACCTTAATTTATTTTTTCATTTTTATATTTATTTATTGAATCACTGTGGGAAAAGTTACTAAGCTTTCAGGTTTAAGTCTCGATCATACAATGATCAAACACCTCTCCCTTCACCAGTACTCATTTTCCACCACCAAGAACCTCAGTATATTCCCCCCCCATCCCTCCAAATGCCTGTGAGGCAGATGATTTCCACTTCACTCTTCTCTACATTGATTATATTCATTATTTCGACAAAAGATGCACCATTATTGTTTAGAATTTCCCCCCCCCCAAACAATCAGAATTGCTGGAAAGGCATTGTGAAATATTTTGTTTTCTATAGCTGGTTATGAGAATCATATAATGTCACGCGGCCACGATTTTGGATTTCTGCAAAGAGCCAGATAATTACGAGATTGGTTTCTGTGTGTCTGGTGTTATGGCCCTGCCGGAGAGCCGCTTGTGGGGGGGGGGGGGGGTAACTCGTGACCTCGGTAGGGCGTTAAGGATGTGCCGGTACCGCCCCCCTTCCCATGAGACTGCAGTTGCCCCGTTACCGCAGGCTCATACTTGGCTTTCCCATAAGCTCTGAGGTGGCGGTTCAAACATGCTGGTGCTCAGATACCCCCACCTCGAGCTCGTCTCGGGGGTCCATGTGGTGCCCGGGGATGGAAACCAAGACTCTTCAAAGCCTGTGCTCTGACCCATTGAACTACTTCCATAGCCAGGGCCACCCCCCAGCCCTGTCTTACACAAGTAAAACTGAATCAGAAATCAGTTTCCCTAAAACTCACTGTTTTCTGTTAGTCCCTCAGACAACAGTTTTTTGGTTTTGTGCCCAAGACCATAGCCCCCTACTCCCATTCCCTGTTGGGAGTTGGCTCTTCCCACCCCCAACCCCCAATTTCTGTGGGCAGAGGGGGCTGAAGCAGCATCATGCCTGGTGATGCTTGGGTACCAGTCCTGGCTCTGTGCTCGGGAGCGCCCCCTGGCGTTACGCAGCAGGCGCGCCCCGGGGGGCCCTCGGTTTGTGGTCCTTAGGTAACCCTTTGTTGTCCTTAGGTAACTCCGCAGTTTGACTTAGCCGCGGACAGCGGCCCCCCGAACCCCCAGAAACGACGTCGCCGAGACCCGGCCCGGCGTTCAAGCCGAAGCTGCGCTTCCAAGTTCCCGCGTCTCGGCTTTGAGAGCCCAGAGCCACCTCGGAGCTCCGCGGCCCGCACGCCCTCCAAGCCGTCAGGAAAGGGGGTCTGCAGTAGCCCCTTGGTGCCCGTGCTCAGCCCTCAGAGCCAGGCCAGCCCAGGCTGCCCTCACGCCTGCACCCTGCCCGACATCAGGACCCCCGAGCCTGCCGCTGCCTCGCGCCAGGGGGAAAACAGCCTCCCAGGAGCCCCGATGGGCACAGAGCCGGGGCCCGTCCTGGTGAGGGACACCCCCGAGGACAAGTACGGGCTGAAGGTCACTTGGAGAAGGAGGCAGCAGCTGCTGGCCTTTCTGCAGGACAGGGGCAAGCTGAGCCCAAGCCAAGTCCATGTGAAGATCTGACATGGACAGATGTCAGCCTCCCAGGTGGGGATGCAGAGCCGAGAGGAGCAACCCCGGAGCACGGCTGGGGTGGGCCCCAAACCAAAATAACAACCCAAAAAAAGAAGAATGGGACCCTGTCACAGCTGCGTTCCCAGCAGCACCCCTAAAAAGGGGCGGCGGCTTTCCGGGGAGAGGCTTCAGGGCCCCCTGGGGACTCAGCACAGTGTGTCCACTGATGGAGCAGGAAGGGCCCCATCCCAGAAACACGAAACCCAGGTATCCCCCAAACCTTGCGTCCCAAGGGACTTTTAATGTCCACATTTGGCCTTTAAATTGGCCGGCCCTGGAACAGTTTTCCCTCTTTACTGTCATGAATGGCTCATTTCCTATTTCTCTGAACAGTCCCTGTTCCACATTTTAAAGCAGCTTCTAGAAACTGTTTCTAATGTATATAAATAAATGGTCGTGGAAGTTTTTGAGAGAATCCAGCCTCGAGAATGCCAATAATGCCACAGTACCACGCCCCAACTCATTACACTTTTATTCACTTCCTTCAGACGGCTGGCCCAGGAGCCGGGAATGTAAGTTAGTGAAAGGGGCGTATGCTCTTGTAGGAGGTCCCGGGATCTATTTCTGGCAACTTCCAAAACAAAATGAACTCAGTCGTTCTCTGTTGTTTAGAATCACCTGTGCCATGAAGGCAAGTGGTCATTTCCTTGTGACATGCTAGGGAGAAGAAAAAAAAAAATCACACTTTTTTTTTTTTTTCTTTTTGGGTCACACCTGGCATTGCACAGGGGTTACTCCTGGCTCTGCACTCAGGAATTACTCTTGGCGGTGCTCAGGGGACCATATGGGATGCTGGGAATTGAACCCGGGTCGGCCGCGTGCAAGGCTGCTGTGCTATCACTCCAGTCCCAAAAAATCACACTTTTGGTTGTTGGTTTTGGGAGTTACATCAGGGCAGCGGGTGGCTCTGTTCACAATGGCCCCTGGGGCATTCAGGGAGCTTCTGTGTTCCTGGGGAAAGCCCACATGTGTCCCATACGGGCTAGTCGCCATGTCCCGGGTACTGATTGCACAGCCGTGCTGCCAACCCTTCCACTTTGGCTTCTCCTCAGAAAGTCCCATGAAGAGAGAGGCCTGAGCCCTGTCTCCTCAGATACAGCTGCTCAGGCAGAGCTAAGTGTTTTGGCTTGCTACGTTTTGATTTTTTTGTGTATGATTGACTGAAGAAAACCATAAATGATAAACAGGGTGGGAATCATTTTATGCAGTAGCTGTGGAAAATGCATGTGAACGTCTGGAAAGCGGGATCAAGTGAGAAGACATTTGCAGGCAAGTCCGAGGCCTGAAGTTGAGCCTCTGCCACCACCCGGTTCCAAAAGAACAACCAGGTGTGACCCTGGTGACCCCCAAGCATCACCAAAATGGCCCTTCAATTTTTTTTTTCTCCTCCTGCCTTCTGATAAACGGTCCACAGGTAGGAGAAGAGGGACAGAGTGACAGGAGGCAGTGACAGAAGTGCACAGGCTTCCTGGTCCGTCTGTCTTGAGTTTCTTTTGGAAGGATTCCTGGGATGAGACTTCAGATCGGAAGCACCTCGTTTTGCTGTTTGAAGCCACTTTTGTGTCTGTCTGTTTTGTTGTATTTGGCTTTGGGGCAGCCCAGCGGTGCATGAGGAGTACTCACAGCTCAGTGCTCAAGGATCACTCCTACTAGGTTTTGCGACCCTCTGGGATGCTGGGGGTCCAGGCCTATGGACAGTCAGGTAGGGGCCCGCAGTAACAAGAAACGCAGGGCCTCATGGGATGGGGGTGGAGCCGGTCCGTCCCCCCCTACAAGACCCTGAGTTGGTGCTCACGAACGAGTCCTCTGTCTGTTGATTGAGTTGCTTAATGGCCATGATCCCAGAGACTCAGAAACAAACCTCGGGCCCTTAAATTTTTTAAAGGGGTGTCAGATACAATACAGAAGGTAAGGTGCTTATCTTGCACACAGCTGACCCGTTCTATCCCTGGCATCCCATGTGGTTCCCCAAGCACCTCCAGGAGTGATTCCTGAGTGCAGAGCCAGGAATAACCCCTGAGTGTCGCCTGGTGTGGCCCAAAAACAAACAAACAAAAAATATGAGGGGCCCAATGGCCCAATAGTACAGCTGTCAGGGTACTTGCATATGGCCCACCTGGTTTTGATTCCAGGCACCCTCAATACTGCCAGTTGTGGCCTGGCCTCCCCCACCTCCCCTCCATCCCGCCAAGTACTGTGCTGGAGAGGTAGCTCAGCGGGCTGCTTGCCATGCAGGAGGCCTGGGTTTGATCCCTACCCCTGCATGGTCGAAGCACTGCCAGGAGCGACCATTGAGCAGACTCAGGACTAGTCTCTGAGTACTTCTGGGTATGGCCCCAAAGCAAAACAAAAATTTCCAAGCAACGGGCTGGAACGATAGCACAGCGGGCAGGGTGTTTACCTTGCACGTGGCCAACCCGGGTTAAATTCCCGGCATCCCATTTGGTCCTCCGAGCACCACCAGGAGTAATTCCTGAGTGTATGAGCCAGGAGTAAACCCTGTGCATTGCCAGGTGTGACCCAAAAAGTTAAAAAAAAAAAAATTCCAAGGAACATCACTTCTCTGCTGTTACCATTCATGCCCAAAGACTGCAGCATGAACAAAATGTCTCCATTGCCCTTTGACCCTTAGGAAGCATCTCCAACTCCTGAGCCCACTCTTTCAACTCTGTAGCTCCTCCTCCAATTCCATTTAGCAGGTAAGAACCTGCCCTTGGAGGTTAAGGATAAACTTAGTGGTGGCAGGCCTGCTTGCCATGGAAGCCCTGAGTTTGGAGTTCCAGCACTACAAAAGTCTTCGGCCTGGGACCAGAGCCATAGGAAAGCGGGTAGGGCGTTTGCCTTGCACACGGCCGACCTGGGTTCAATTCCCAGCATCCCATATGGTCCCCTGAGCACCTCCAGGAGTAATTTCTGAGTGCAGAAGTAAGCCCTGAGTAAGCCAGGAGAAAGCCCTGAGCATCGCTGGATGTGACCCAAAAAGCTAAAAAAAAAAAAAATTAAAAAAGTCCTCAGCCCATTTGGTCCCCCGAGCACCGCCAGGAGTAATTTTTTTTAATTAATTAATTTTTTTACAAAATTAACTTTTTTATTGAACTGAAATTGGGGTAGAACAGGGGTTACCACAGCTTCTGAGCTCAGTAACAAGTGACAAATCCCTGTGACATTTTACTTTCAAGAGTCCTGACATGGTTTGGGCGAACAACTAGGAAACAGTGTACGTGTATATATTTTTCCTTTTTTTTTTTTTAACACTTAAAAATATTTTGAAATGGGCCTCACCACTTCATTCAGTTTTCAGGTTACAAAGAACATTGATAACGTCTTCTGTTGTCTTCATTTAGTAGTGTCAGTTAATATTCTTTCCCAAAAGGTTCCTCGCAAAGTGCTGGCTATAATTTCTCCCCATCCGATCCACATTAAGAAAAGGATTTAGTAACAATTAGGCAAGTAATGAACTGTAAGAACTTTAAAGGTAGTAAAGGCATACACCAAGCATCCGTGACTCATCACTCACGCTGCTAGAAAGACAATGTACTGGCTCAAGAGTCTTAGCTAAGCTCCAGAAGTACTGGGGGCACGAGTGGAATAGGTGAGGCAGGGAAGGAGCATCAGAGCTGACGGTGTGTAGTAGCTAAGCCTCACCTGGACATCTTGCTTCCGACATGCAAGCATGTAGCGGTCTTAAAAAAATAGGTGAAATACTTTAAGGGAAAAGAAGACACCTAGGAAGGGTAAAAATCAATCCAAGATGAAGGAAAATTAATACTGAATTTCTGTAAGGCAGGAAAGCAATGGTACAGACAGTACATATCAATTGCTTTGTGAAAGAGCAAACATCTAATGATACAGAGAGATGAAAGTTAACCCCTCTAAAGAATTCCAAGGGAAATAAATAAAGTGACTCATCTCTTCTGGGATGCAGCCTGGCCTAGACGGCAGGGCTGCTGTTTATTTACTCAGCCAGGACTGGAAGCCGAGAATGAGAATGAACACAGAGAGTCGGGGCTGACCTTGTACTTGTCCTGCTCTGCAAGCTGCTTTTTTTTATGCCTTTGACAGATTCAAAAGAAGGAGGATGCAGCAGAGCAGAGCTGGTGGAGGCTGCCTTCAACTCCTGGCACAACCGAAATTTAAAAAAAAAATAAAGGGATGGGGGCTGGAGCGATTGCACAGTGAGGAGGGCTTTTGCCTTGCACGCGGCTGACCCAGGTTCGATTCCCAGCATCCCGTAAGGTCCCCTGAGCACCTCCAGGAGTAATTCCTGATTGCAGAGCCAGGAGTAATCCCTGTGCATTGCTGGGTGTGACCCAAAAAGCTAAAAAAGAAAAAAAAATTAAAGGGATGAGAAAATCAAGCCCAGTGGAGAGGCGTGTTTGTGATGGGGAATAAAGAAAGGGAAGGAGAGGTGACATAGGGAAAGGGGTGGGGGGTGGGGTCTCAGCAGGTTCTGGTGGGGTGCCCTAACTTATAACAATCTTGAGCACACTTGTAACAATGTTGCTTCAAGTATAGTTTAAAAATACAACAGGGGGCTGGTGGGATAGCACAGCGGGTAGGGCGTTTGCCTTGCACACGGCCAACCTGGGTTCCATTCCCAGCATCCCATATGGTCCCCTGAGCACCGCCAGAAGTAATTTCTGAGTGCAGAGCCAGGAGTAACCCCTGTGCATTGCTGGGTGTGACCCAAAAAGCAAAAATAATAATAATAATAATAAAATAAAAATAAAAATACAACATACTTTTAAAATAATTTTAAAAATTACAACATAGTTCAATATAAACAATATAGTTATAAAAGTTATAAACAATATAGTTAAAAATACAGTATGGTTTTTAAAAAATAGTTAAAAATACAGTATCATAAACAGTAGGTACATCAGTTAACACTCACAATACAAAAAAACCTTGACATCTCTGATCATGGTCATAAGGCTGTGACCATGTAG